TATATATGGAATCTAAGAAAAAAAAAAAAGGTCATGAAGAACCTAGGAGCAAGACGGGAATAAAGATACAGACCTACTAGAGAATGGACTTGAGGATATGGGGAGGGGGAAGGGTAAGCTGGGACAAAGTGAGAGAGTGGCATCAACATATATACACTACCAAACATAAAATAGATAGCTAGTGGGACGCAGCCACATAGCACAGGGAGATCAGCTCGGTGCTTTGTGACCACCTAGAGAGGTGGGATAGGGAAGGAGGGAGGGGGACGCAAGAGGGAAGAGATATGGGAACATATGTATATGTATAACTGATTAATTTTTTTATAGGGCAGAAACTAACACATCATCGTAAAGCAATTATACTCCAATAAAGATGTTACAAAAAAAATAATAAAAAGAGTCACGTACCACAATGTTCACTGCAGCTGTATTTACAATAGCCAGGACATGGAAGCAACCTAAGTGTCCATCAACAGATGAATGGATAAAGAAGATGTGGCACATATATACAATGGAATATTACTCAGCCATAAAAAGGAATGAAACTGAGTTATTTGTAGTGAGGTGGATGGACCTAGAGTCTGTCATACGGAGGGAAGTAAGTCAGAAAGAGAAAAACAAATACCATATGCTGACACATATACATGGAATCTAAGAAAAAAAATGGTTCTGAAGAACCTAGGGGCAGGACAGGAATAAAGACGCAGACATAGAGGACTTGAGGACACGGGGAGGGGAAGTGTAAGCTGGGACGAAGTGAGAGAGTGGCATGGACATATATACGCTACCAAACGTAAAATAGATAGCGAGTGGGAAGCAGCCGCATAGCACAGGGAGATCAGCTTGGTGCTTTGTGACCACCTAGAGGGGTGAAATAGGGAGGGTGGGAGGGAGGGAGACGCAAGAGGGAAGAGATATGGGAACATGTGTATATGTATAGCTGATTCACTTTGTTATAAAGCAGAAACTAACACACCATTGTAAAGCAATTATACTCTAATAAAGATGTTAAAAAAAAAAAAAGGCAAGAGAAGGCTGTAATCTGGCCCCCTCAGGTTCCCCCAGACACTAAGAAATCCTGCCTGACCCATTCTCTGCTCTGTCAGAGGGAGGCCTGGCCCCTCCATCCCTCAGTGTACAGGCTTAAGGCAAGAACCCGAGCCACATGGGGAAACTACTGAGAATGACCCCTTCCTCCCACGGAAGCTGTCTACTGACAAATGCTCCAGTGGATGCTTTGTGCTGCGGGGTGAAGGTTCATTGCTTCTCTTTCTCTGCAGAAAATTCCCTTCTCATGCACAGTGAGAAAATACTAAAGGTGGTGAAAGCCTGGGGCAAGGAGATGTCAGCGAGAGAGCCGTTTTCCTGTTTGTCCATCAGGTGGAGCCTCCGACAAAGCGCGGGCAGGAGGCAGCCCCGGGATGATTACGCAACGCCAAGAGCGCACGGTCAGGCCGGGTGACCACCCCGCCTGCCGGTGCTGACAGTCCGGAGAGAGAGGCGCATCTGGGGACCAAGCCTCCCATTTCCCCAGCGGGGAGATAGGACTCTTCCTCCTTCCCGTGAAACCCTGGAAACGGCTCAGTAGTTCTTGTTGACTGGCTGCTGCGTACAGATGTCAGCTGCCTGTGAACCGGCGACGCTAGCTCAGTGCTCCTGTTTGTTTTCCAAAGAGGGCTGTCCTGATTTTTCTTTTCTTTTCTTTTTTTTTTTTAAGACCAAACGATAATAGTTATAATAGGCACCTTTCCCTGAGCAGCTCCTATGTGCCCTCACCGTGCACTGTGCAGCAATTTCCTGCTCTGCGTTTTCTATCCCCTCATCCTGCAGCCAGGGGTCCGACCAGCGCCTTACTTCATGCCTTGCTGCTGCGTTAAATACAGCTTGTTTTTAAAAGGGTGAGAGGGAGGAAGGAAATATATCCCTTCCCAAATGTACTGGACTCATCACGGAGCTTGAGTTTCGAGAAGGAATAGGAAACTGAATAGCGTTTGATTTCCCTCTTTCAAAATCAGCTGCATCTTGCTGCTATCTTACCGTTTAAGGTGTGTGTGTGTTTGTGTGTGTGTTTGTATGCGTGTATTTTGTTTTTAACTTCCCTCCAATGTGTCCACTATCTTTTCTGATACCGTATTCTAAAGAAAGGTACTGGTTAAAAGGGAGAGAAAGGTATTGTGTAGTTCCTTCTGGTCGGGAACTAGAACTTTTTGACCTCTTTCCTTTCTTAATTATGTCATAAAGGAAAACCATGAAATTATTTTTAAAAGAAAAATACGTTAAGAGGTCAAAACTAAGCTTACTTCGTAGAAAACATGTTAATTGTAGAAAATTTGGAAAATATAGATCTAGAAATAAAGGGAATAAAATTCACCCATGATCACTTAACCTAGAGATAAATGCTGTCATTTAATTTAGTGTGTGAACTAATGACCTTTTTTTTCCTAACGTTGTATATGCTATCCTACAAAGCATTATGATATTAAACATAACTGTTAAAAATCTATTGTTTTCCTCATTTAATATATTGTGATCATTTTTAATATGTGCATAATATTCTTTATCATATATAAATATAGCATAATATATTCAGTTAATCCCATAGGGATGGACATTAAAGCTATTTCCATTTTTTATAATAGTACATATCACTGGGATAATAATCTTTATATACATTTGTATTTCCTTAGGAAAAATCCTAGAAGAGAAATTGAAGGTCAGTGGATATTTTAAGATACTCAGTTAGTGTGTTTGCAAATGTCCTTCTGGAAACGTGGTGCCAATTTGTATTTTCACCATTATGAGCCAACACGGGTGTAGTTCCTTTTTGTATGCTTTGCCAGTTTCACAGGTTACAGGTAGTATATCATTGTTTTTCTAATTTGTATTCCTCTGCCACTTTCTTTTGAACGTCTCAGATTTCCTTTAAGGACCTTTCCAACAGGCTTAGATTCTGATGGAAGCAATAAAAGATAAGAATGTGTAGCAGCCAAAGGAACATGCAGTGGGAGACACTGGCATTTAAGACATTTGAGACTTGAGGGAACAATGACCTTGAATGCTTTTATAGAGCCTCAGGACACTTAGTGGGAAAGATTCACAGCCAAGAAAATCAGAGAGGGACTGTGCCTGGGGATACAGGTTGGGATAATTCTTAAATTTGATTATTCAACTTTAATAACTAAAAACCCACTGTGGTCAGAAAGACTAAACACAAGAATTCTGGTGATTTTTGCTTCTAACCTGCCTCACAATAAGGCAAGATTGTAGCAGTGGGGAAAGCGATGACCTTTGAGAAGTCTTTCTGCACCTTGAGACTCAGACTTTATAACTGGTTTGTACACCCAGGTATACTCGTGTCATCTTGTGGTGTGCATAGCTGGGTGTGCATGTCTTCACAGATCTCATCCCTCCTTATTTTAACTGAGTGTGAAAGAGACAGGAGCCCGTGCTAGGAAAGACAGGGACAATTAAGAAATAGCTCTGCTTTGGGGAAGCAAGTTAATTTACTGAACCACTGATTTACACTGAAAAACAATTTGCCCAAAACAATTTGCCAAATGCCCAATTTGCAAAATTTGGGGGAATGTTTAAAAAGTTTTAGTTTCATCATCGTCCTGTGCTTTCCCTTGCCCCGTCTCAGAGGTTTGCCCAGGCTCCTTTGTTAGAGAGGCAGGGTCAAGTTCAGAGGCAGGAGCGAGGAGAGGCAGAGGTAGCAGCAGGAACTATACTAAAACTTATAAACAAAACCCTCATGAGTCAGGAAATTGGTCATTCATAAAGTTAGTTTTAGTAAACTGGCTTTCAACAAATTGGCCCAGAGCCCTGCTTTAGCACCTTCTTCTGGAAGTAACTCCTTTTCCTTCTCCAGTCCAAAGCTGTACTTCACCTAGACCTTCAGATTGTGCCATTCCTAAGTAAAACACCAACACTCACCACTTGCTATGGGACTTAAAGATTTAACTGTTAGCTGCCTAAATGTTAACGTGGAATCCTAGAGGATCTTTAATAATATTTAATAATACATTCAAAGTCCACAAGATGACGGTGATTTGGAAATAACTTCTCTCACCTATTCCAACCTGCCCTCTAGCTCCGTCCATGGTCATAGGGCATTCGTGAGCCCCATTTTTGGATAGAGAACACCCCCAATCTTCGACCTGCATGCCCTTTCCCGCAGCCGCTTTACAGCCTTTCAAAAACAAATGAGTAAATAGCAATCATGGCTGTCTCCACTTACCTCTGCCCCTGGGTGAGTTACTAGGTGTTTGATCCACTGCTGGACAGAGGCCTTTGAAAGCTGGGAGATTGGCAAAGAGGGCGGGTCCCTCGAAGTGATCTGGCCTATAGAGCAGAGACAAAGGAATAAGCGGATATTTTGCACTAAGATGAGCTTCCTGCCAGTTTTCTCATGAATTTTTCCTAAAATAGGAGTGCATCTACTTTTCAGCCTGATTACATTTTAAAAGCCCTCTTCTACCATCATAGCCTTGATAGATGCTAGACTCTACGGAAGATTAAAGATGACAGGGATGGTGAGAAGGGTGAATCTCAGATAAAAGCTGTCCCCACACACGTTGGGGCATAGCAAATATTGGTTACGCCCACATTTTTGCAGTGCAACATTATGGTCTCCGTATGGGAAATGTAAAGTTGGTTAAAGTTACAGTGTTCAGAGGCATAAAAATATATGTGTAAAAACTTCAATAAAAAGTGTTATGTGTAGGGCGCCAAAATGGTCATGAACTTGACTGGGATGCCAAGGATGCTGGCAGACGTGGCAGAAGAAGCGAGTTGCGTGCCAAAATGATTAAGGAAGATGGAAGAGTGAACTGAAAAAGTGTCAAGGGTGCATTAATGTATGGACTGAAGTGTAAAAGAGGAGACATAATTGACTAATGGATGCAGGACACTTTCATCTGTCATGTTGGAAATCTAGCAGGTGCCTATTTAAAGTCAACCCTATAGCATTCTAGAGCTTGGGATAATTTATCTGCAGGTTCAAACCAGATTTGCTCTGGACCAAGCATGAAAACATAGTAAATATGTAGCCTTTTATAGAATCTTATCGCTCTAGATACAGGTATAGGTAGATATTTGTGAATTGAGGCAGATCATAACATAATAAATAGTGAACTATTTGTGTTCTTTTTTCTTTTTTGATCCTCATTCTGCCCAACAGAAGGACCAATTTCACACTTTACAAAAGGCAGTGTCACCTCAGATCTATGAACCATTTTATTTCAAACACAACTTACTATGACAATTCTGTCTACTGCTTGGTTGGGAAAAGGCCTTTCCATATCTCACTCACTGCAGAACAATCTGATTTTCTTGTAATATCCATCTGGTCTTTATATCTATCTCTTGAAATCTTAGGGCTGTTAGAATTAGATCAGAAATAATCCATGTAGAATGGAGCTGAGATTCATGTCACTGACAACTAGAAAGAGAGAGAGAGAGAGAAGCTAATAGCATCACAGGGACAGAATGGACTCCCTTACAGATCTCTGGAAGTCTAGCACCTTATGTTTCCTGAACCATTCATTGCAAGGCTAACTCTGAGGTCCTGGATGGCAGTCACCTTCAGCCTGAGCAGCAGGGCTCCTGACCGTCTCTGATATAGGCCACGTGGCTAGTCTCTCTGTGGAATCACCAGAATAGCTGGATTGGTTACACTCTGTCATTTCAGAACACCCACCTCAACCCTCACCCTGTTTATTTGTTGACACTAGGGATATTTTTAATTATTATTATTTAAATTTTTTATTCAATTTACTTAAACTGAAAAAAAAAATTCACCCATTTGTCTCACTTCCCACCCTTCACTTTTGGCAACCACCAGTCTGTTCTCTGTACCTATTATGACCTTTGGTGTCTTTGCGTTTTTTTGTTTCTTTACTGTTTTAGATTCGACACATAAGAGAGATCATACAGTATTTGCCTTCGTCTGGCTTATTTCACTTAGCATAATATAATACACTCTAGGTCCATCCATGTTGCCGCAAATGGCAAGATTTATTTTTTAATGGTTGAATAATATTCCATTGTGTATATATATTTATATATATATATCCCATATCTTCTTTATCCACTCACTTATCAATGAACACTCAGGTAGCTTCCATGTCTTGGAAGCAATGAACATGGGGGTATATATATCTTTTTGAGTTAGTGTTTTCATTTTCTTTAGGTAAATACCGAAAAGTGGAATTCGTGGATCTTATTGGAGTTCTATATATTTTTAATTTTTTGAGGATTCTCACTAATGTTTTCCATAGTGGTTGCACTAGTATGCGTTCCCACCAATAGTGCACAAGGGTTTCTTCTTCTCTACACCCTCTCCAACACTTGTCATTTCTTGTCTTTTTGCTAACAGCCATTCTAACAGGTGTGAGGTGATATCCCATGGTGGTTTTGATTTGTATTTCTCTGATGATTAGTTATGTTGAGAATCCTTTTATGTACCTATTGGCTATCTGTATGTCTTCTTTGGACAAATGTCTACTCAGATCTTCTGCCCATTTTTTAAATCAGATTGTTTGGCGTTTTTTTGCTATTGAACTGTGTAAGGTTTTTTTGTTTTGTTTTGTTTTTTAATATATTTGGGATATTAGTCCTAAATAGATATATGATTCACAATAATTTTCTCCCATTCATTAGTTGCCTTTTCATTTTGTTAATGGTTTCCCTTACTGTGCAGAAGCTCTTTAGTTTGACATACTTCCACTTGTTTATTTTTGCTTTTGTTGTTTTTGCTTTTGGTGTTAGATTCAAAAAATCATCACCAAGACCTGTGTCTAAGAGTTTACAACCTATGTTTTCTTCTAGAAGTTTTATGGTTTCAGGTCTTACATTCAAGTCTTTAATCCATTTTGAGTAAATTTTTCTGTATGGTATAAAATACTGGTTCAGTTTCATTCTATTGCATGTGACTGTCCATTCTTCCCAACACCATTTATTGAAGAGACTGTCCTTTCCCCACTGTATATTCTTGTAATTTGTCATAAAATAATTGACCATATATGCATGGATTTATTTCTGGTCTCTCTATTCTGTTCCACTGATCTATGTGTCTGTTTTTATGCCAATACAATACTGTTTATAGTTACTATAGCTTTATAATATAGTTTGAAATCAGGGAGTGTGATGCCACCCGTTTTGTTCATCTTTCTCAAGACTGCCTTGGCTATTCAGGATCTTCTGTGGTTCCATAAAATTTTTAGGATTGTTTGTTCTAATTCTGTGAAAAACACCATTGGAATTTTGATAGGAATTGCATTGAATCTCTATATTTCCTTGGTTAGTATGGACATTTCAACAATATTAATTCTTCTAATCCATGAGCATGGAATCCTTCCATTTACTTGTGTCTTCTTCAATTTCTTTCATAAATGTTTTGTACTTTTCAATATACAGGTCTTTTACCTCTTTGGTTAAAGTTATTCTTAGGCGTTTTATCTTTTTAATGCAATTGTAAATGGGATTGCTTTCTTAACTTTTCTGATAGTTTGTAATTGGTGTATAGAAACACAACAGATTTTTGTCTATTGATTTTGTATCCTATAACTTTACTGAATTTGCTTATTAATTCTAATAGTTTATTGATGGAGTCTTTAGAGTTTTCTATATATAATATCATGTCATCTGCAAATAGTGACAGTTTAACTTCTTCCTTTCCAATTTAGATGATTTTTCTTTTTCTTGCCTAATTGCTCTGGCTAGGGTTTCCAATACTATGTTGAATAAAAGTGGTGGGAGTAGGCATCCTTGTCTTGTTCCTGATCTTAGAGGAAAAGCTTTCAGATTTTCACCATTGAGTATAATGTTAGCTATGGGCTTGTCATATATGGCTTTTATTATGTTGAGGTATGCTCTCTCTATACTCATTTTGTTGAAAGTTTTTATCATAAATAGATATTGAATTTTGTCAAAAGCTTTTTATGCATCTTTTGAGATGATCATATATTTTTATCCTTCATTTTGTTAATGTGGTGTGTCACACTGACTGATTTGTGGATGTTGAACTATCCTTGCATCCCCAGAATAAATCTCACTTGGTCATGTTGTATGATCCTTTTACTGTATTGTTGAATTCTCTTTGTTAACATTTTGTTGAGGAATTTTACATCTATGTTCATCAGGAATATTGAACCGTAATTTTCTTTTTATGTGATATCTTTGTCTGGTTGGTATCAGGGTAATGCTGGCCTCGTAAAATGAGTTTGGAAGTTCTCCTTCCTATTTTATTTTTTGGAAGAGTTTGAGAAGAATTGTTATTAATTCTTCTTTGAATGTTTGGTAGAACTCACCAGTGAAGCCATTCTGTCCTGGACTTTTGTTTGTTAGGAGGTTTGTTTGTTTTTTTAATTTTTAATTTTAATTTTATTTTTGGCTGCGTTGGGTGTTCATTGCTGTGTGTGGGCTTTCTCTAGTTGCGGCAAGCAGGGGCTACTCTTCGTTGCAGTGTGTGGGCTTCTCATTGAGGTGGCTTCTCTTGTTGCAGGGCATGGGCTCTAGGCACATGGGCTCAGTAGTTGTGGCATGCAGACCCTAGAGCATGCAGGCTTCAGCAGTTGTGGTGCATGGGCTCAGTAGCTGTGGTTTGCAGGCTGTAGAGCACAGGCTCAGTAGCTGTGGCACAAGGGCTTAGTTGCTCCGGGGCATGTGGGATCTTCATGGACCAGGGATCAAACCTGTGTCTCTTGCATTGGCAAGTAGATTCTTAACCACTGTGCCACCAGGGAAGTCCCTGTTGGGAGGTTTTTAATTACTGATTCAATCTCCTTACTAGTCATCATTCTGTTCAGATTTTCTATTTCATCATTATTCAGTCTTGGTAGCTTATAGATTTCTAGGAAATTATCCATTTCTTCTAGGTTGTTTAATTTGTTGGAGTATAATTGTTCATAGCAGTCTCTTATGATCCTCTGTATTTTTCTGTGGTATCAGTTGTAATATCTTAATATCTCCTCTTTCATTTCTGATTTCTCAGGAATTATTTTTTTTAATAAATCTTTTTATTCTGGTTAGAAATAAAGCTTAAAAATGGCTGGGAATGGTGACATGTTGCTTTAAGCTCACACTTAGCTCTAGAGGTGGGTAACAGAACTTTGTCTAGGAGCAGACTTCCATACAGGAAAAACAGCTCATTTGAGGGAGGAGGAGAAGCTAGAGGTATCAAACACATTCAGCACTTGGACCAGGGCCTTTATAGTCTATGGCCAAACACCTTACACTTTCTAGGAATTCAATATAAGTATTAAACCCAAAACTACTAAAACTGGAATTATTTAACATTAATAATTTGACTCTTTAAATTTTTGGTGTGTGAAGGATTGCAT